TTTTGCAGACCTCCCTGTATGTGTTTCAGCTTGGTCCCCTGGGACTATCAAGTACATTTCCCTGAAGGATAAGCCCTCAAAATAAAGCCTGCAAAATAAGAGTGGCTGTAAGTGTGGGGTATGAGCTGGGATCCAGATGTAGCTGGGACTGTACACAATCTCTGGAATCCAGATGTTTGCTCTTTGCCCTTTAAAAAAACTTTTCTTAAATGTTCTTGGCAGCTTTTAACTTTTTAAAATCATGGTTTAATAAATAATTTTTTTAAAGGAAATACAGATGATTAACTCTACTAGGCTGATTGTTCCTGCCAAAGGCTGCACTTTTAAATAAAAAACAAAACAAAACATTCTTACTACTGTTTGCATGAAAACCAAAACTGTAATGGAGAGAAAAATTATGAGCAAAAGCGGCACCAGTCTACTTTAAGGACTGAAAATAAATCTTCTGAAGCTACACTGTGTGTCAGTGTATTTAGTTTAGCTCCTCTGAAGCTTAGTCCATATGATTGGTTGCAGATTAAGTGAGCTGGTTTCCAAGTCTGTTAATATAAACCCTTAAATAGATTCTAGAGATAGATTTGGACTCTCTTGATCTGATCTTTATCTGTAATAACTGACCAAATGCCATGGAGTTTGTGTTATGAAATGTAGAGGCCACCTCTTGAAGGCTTTTTTTTTTTTTTTGACTTACTGAAAGAAAGCAAGTGGCAGTGCTTGTTTTAAGGCATAGCTTGTTCATCAAGAGCAAACAGTTGTAATGCTTCTCTTGAAAGAGGTTGGTTGTTTTTTTTTTTTCCCTCTGCTCTTGAAGCAATTGCCTGAGGTTCTTGTCTGATATGAGTTTACAAAATGGAAGCCAGGCTTCCTGGGGGATTGACTGGGTACACTTTTTCCATGTGTTCCTCAAAAGGACAGAATTGCCCTTAGATCAGAGCTCTGTGTCAGCTTTCTGCTGCCTGTTAGCCTCTGGGAATGCACATGCTTTTTTGGGCTAAAGCTGTTAAAGCTGTTGTTCAGTTAGAAAATAAAGGGAACATATTACACGAGGGAAATTTGTATGTGGTTTGCCACAGTTCAGGTCACTGCCCAAAGCCATCACTGCTTTTGTCTCTGTGGAAATCCTTGTCCTTCTGGTCCTGGAGAAGAGAAGCACAACCTGCTAGAGCTGGAAACAGTCCTTCTCAACATGTCCTCGTCCCCACAGGCCTAAGTGCTAAGGTGATACACCCCCTGTACTGGCACTGAGTGGGCCTGAACCCCCGGAATTTGAGGCAGGAGGGAGCGAGGAAAGAAACCCAGGTCCTATTGTAACTGAAAAACACACACGCTGTTTTTGTGGGGCCCTGGAGCACAGTAAGGCTGTCCCTGCTCACGGAGCTTCCATGTTTCCAGCTCAACCACGTGTTAACCAGGGCGCTGGCAGCCAGGCCCCATCCCTCGTCGCAGCCACGGCTCAGCCCCAGCGGGGTCTGTCGCCTGAGGGCCTCCGGGGGCAGCCCCATCGGGCTGGATCTCCTCAGGGCGGAGAAGGGCCGGCAGGTGCGGCCTGCAGCACCCACCGCGACTGGATCAGGCCCCAACGCAGAACATAAAAAAAGAGTATATTAAACACAGCTGCTTGCTAAGCCT